TATTAGATTATACATTTTTTTAAAAAGATAGTTTAGATTGTCGCTAGATCTATAACTCTCCGTTTGTGAAATAATCGATAGTGATGCCAACCTCTCAGGCGAGAACGAAAATGGTGATAATAATATTATTAAGTACAAGAGCGGGGGAAAAGTGGTTGTGTTGTGTGTGTGTGTGTGTGTGTGTGTGTGTGAGAGAGAGAGAGAGTGGGGGAGGGGGCAATTACCAAGAATTACCAAGAATTGTAGGCCACTTTCAGGTTAAGAATCATAGATACATGGGTTTATAAAGGAAGAACCAAATTGGGAAATATAATAAATTCACAAAGAGGCGAAAGAAGCTAAAGCAGCACCTAAATTATTGACTAAACAATATTAAACGTGGATAACTGGTGCCTCTTAAAATCTAGATGATCAAGTCAAGTCTCGTGGTTTAGGTTTAGTTGGAGTATAGGTATGGTATGAGTCTCTCATTCATTAGGTCCCAGTTCGATGTTCGAAACCTGACAGAGGCAAACACTTTTATTCTCTCTCTTTTAAAAAAAAAATCCTCATCCTTTCCGAGTCTCTTGTTATGATCTCAGTTTGGTCATCTGCTTTCATTCCCCACTTACTATTCCTAAAATTCTGGGCTTCTTTGCCTTTTACTCTTAGCTCTTTCTACTATTTCTTACTGATGTCTTTCAGCCACATGCCTGAACTAATGGTAGGTAAGATCTTACACCTACACCTAGATTGTTCATGTATGGGGGGGCACGTCGACCATGCCGATGAAGGTAAGAAGGCCTCCATGTCTGACATGTGTGGCGTCACTGCTGCGAGCTCTTGTAATATAACCCATTTTCAGGAATAGTAAAGGAAAGCAATTCAAGAAACAGTTAAAAAAAAAAAAACTTAAATATTGTGTGAAACTACTAATTGAGTCGCGGTTCTCGCACATTCTTTTTACATTATAAGTACATGTAGTATAATTACTTAATGAAAATTAAGTATTTCCAAATATTTTACTTCTACAGTTTAAGCACAAGCAGCTGGCAATAATGTTAAGATGTAATACATTATGACAAAGTACCTTCACCTGTGTAAATTTATTTGGGGTTGAAGCATTTATTGTTTCCAAATAATTGACCCACCACCTGCCGGTGGCAGGCAAGGTACAAAAAGGAATACTGTTTCTGATTTTGTTTCCTTGTTCTTATAGTCTCAGACACACCAACCAATCAACTCTCCACAGAGCGTCCAGGAAAGTACACTCCATCATAGCCAGAACCATGGCCCCGAGTGCAGCCAACTCAACGATGTTCATCAATGATACTGTCGGAGTAACACAGGGTTTGTTTCATTGTAACTTAAACACTATTTTTTTGTTCTATTCCAGCCTGTCAGGTAGTTGCAGAGGCTGTCAATGATCAGTTCAACTTCTTTTCTTTCCCTCTGTTGTTTCTGTGTGTCTGTCTTACTTTTTTCCAGCATTAAAAGACCATTATTGTGTAGATGCGCTTCTCTTTACACAGGCAAACAGACACTTCAAGAAACAAACAAACAAACAAACAAATAACAATCTGGAAGATGGCTGGAGCATGCTAAAAGACGGTTCTACGTCTATTGGCTACCCAAACGAGGCACATAGAGAGTAGAGATGTGAGTACATGTACTAGGTCAGATAGATTCCGAATGGAAGGCTAAAGTTTACCTTTACTAAACCCGGCTCACCCACAAATAGAAGAGTGGTCTTTCTAAAGAGCCAACAGCAGCTGTCCCTTCCTCGCCGGGGTCTGTGGTGTAGTGGCAAGGCCTTGGCTGTCGCACTCAGGAGACCCGAGTTCCATTCCCGAGTGGGCCGATCGGGTATCTCTGTTTTCACGTGGATATTCTGTCCTGGGCGCCCTGGGGCGAAGGGCAATGAGGAGGCTGATAGGCTTGCAGGCAGTGCCATGGTTGATGGTGAGGTGACATTTTACAAAGGAGAAGTGTTGAAGACCCTGGAGGAAAAGTTGCAGGATGAGGAAGACAGGGAGACAGAAGAACAACTCGCAATCATTTGGATGCAGGAAATGGGGATAGAGAGGGGAGAAGGAAGAAAGGAACGATTATTTGGAAAGGAAAGACGTCACCATAATCAGACAGCCACCAGAATAATGAGTATGGATACCTTGCGGGCTTTGGTGCTGGGGGAAACTGAGCACTTATGGACCTATCTGGTCTGCTATGACTTTGTTGTCCAGGACAGGTAATACAGACCAATACAGGTCTGTTTTCCGACTGAGGTATATATCTCTTTCAGCCCAGGTTGGCCTTGACTGGCAAGGTTGAAAGCACGTATCCTGCATGATCTAAATTGTTTCGTATGGGAAAAAAACACCTACATAAAGCAATATATTGTTATTTCTTTTGTCAGGAGGTCGTTCAATTGCTGTACCGGGAGAAATTCTCGGTTTCTGGGAAGCTCACAAGCTACAGGGTCGTCTCCCTTGGCGAGACCTTTTCCAACCTGCGATTAAACTTGCCACTGAAGGCTTCCCAGTTGAGCCATCTACAGCCGCTGCCATCCAAAGTAAAATACCCTCAGGGATATTTGACACGTTTCCCACTCTCAAGTAAGTTGTAGTTGTTTGTTAGCTCATGCTATTTGTTTGTTACCCTCTAAATCATGTGTACGGGAAGAGACATAGAAGATAAAGTTCTGAGAGGCCCACAGAAAATAAACGATGGTTACAACAACGACAAAAAAGAAAAGAAAAGAAAGGAAAAGAAAAGGAAGGAAAAGAAAAGGAAGGAAAAGAAAGGAAAAGCAAAAAGCTGTACACAAACACTTAACATAAATAGCGCGATCCTGCATCTTCTTTGTCTCTCTACGAGCCCCTGAAAGACGAAAGAAAAATAAGAAGTTGACCAATAAAGTTGCCTTTTTCACCTATAGATACCAATATCGAGTAATAAAGCAAGTCAATAAAACAAACAAAGAGATCAAATATATCACTGCATTTTTCCTCTTGCAGAGCCATCGTGACGAACCCAATCACAGGCACCTGGTACAAGGAAGGGGAGATGATCCGGCGTCCCAAGCTGGCACGGACTTTACAGAGAATCGCTGATGGTGGCGCAGCTGAGTTCTACAATGGAAGTCTAGCTGATGACATTGTCAAGGAGATACAGGGGGCAGGTGGGTCGGATGCGTATCGTATGGAATGGGTTTAACTCTATTTCTTCCAATTTATGCGAAATACCGTCCTTTACCTCACCCTTTCAACTTACAAGAACGAAACAGAAGTCATTTGTATTTTGTTCGTTTGTGGTATTTGTTTCCTTTTCTTGTCTTTGCTTTTTGCTGTTTTGTTTTGACAAATTGTTCTTTTTCATTTTTATTTCACTTTCCAGGGGGTATCATCACCAAGCAGGACCTGGCTGACTTTTATGCTGACGTCACATCACCTTTGTCTCTGGCTCTGAACGGAGGACTGACCATCTACTCACCACCATTGCCTTCCAGTGGCGTCATCGCTCAGAACATTCTAAACATCCTCTCGGGTAATGTTCTTAAGACTTTGATACAAGCTGATCTATCTGTGAACACCAGGCATTGTCCAATGACCGGATTACTCGTCTCACTGAGTTACCGCCCCTTTCAGAACTGTAAAAGTTGAAGAACACCGTATATTGCAGTTTTAGGGTGGATCATATCCCTCTTTTGGAGCTTAAAAGAAGTCAAGTTCTTAGTTTATTTTTAGTAAGAGTTTTACGGCACCTGCAACACAATTAGGTAATATAAGTGTTGAAGATTGATGGAGGTGTTACAAACACATAAAAGAAGAGATAATGACAATAGGTATTTGATAGGAAAGAAGGAGCAATCCACACAGGAGCACTCGCCAACCACCCACAGTCAAGCTCTGACTCTGGGGAACTAATACTTCCTCTGTGTCTACACTGTTTTAAAATAGTCTGTCAAGATACAAAAGGCATATGATATATTATATATCATATTAACCTCTCGACTATCTGTCAAACACCAAAGATTGGTAAATATTTAAAAATATTTTTTCACGCAAAGAACAAGGCAAAAACCCTGTCCCACCAAACGTCCATCCCTACAAAAGAAAGGAAAGAACCCATAATAGGCTGTATTTACGACATTCGATTTCACAAACATTCCAGTACTCTTTTGCACCCCTCCCTACTTTTTTTTTTCCAAAGAAAAAAAATTAAGTTCCGAAGAAGAATAAACTCCTA